CAAGGCGTGGATTTATTTAAATAATTTCTTCAGAGGATAGAGTTCACAATTGATTTTTAATAACATTTTGGTCACTTCAGGTCAGAGAGTAACCACGCCAATTAATCTCTTTTCTATATTTTCCATTGTACACATCACTTTAAATGTTTGATGTGGGTTTCCCCTTTTGTGGGTTTTGGCTTCGATGCTAATAATTGTAGGCTGTCATCTAATTATTGTCTTTGTCTTTCTGTGAAAAATAGCTTCATTAATCTAAACTACAATAACCATTGTAATCTATGTTACGTCAAGGTTACCAAGGCATTTAGGTCAGAAATTCCTACTTTTAAAATAAAAATGTAGGCCAATCTATGAAAAACATTTCTCGTCCCAAAAAAGATAAATCTTCCGTTTTGTTGTTTGTCAAAGCTCGAGATCAAGATTTATTTTGTAAATCAGCTAACATTTTTAATATCGTTTTCTTTCTCTGTTTCGATTTGCATATCTTTTCTTTGATGCCCAGCATGAAAATAAAGCTCAAACATACACACAAAGCGTAAGTAGAGTTTATTGTTTTTTTATTTCAACAATTTCAAGTGAATCAAACGTGATTCCGACTTCGAAACATCTTGAGATATAAAATTACAAAATATTTTCTTTTTTTAATTTTTTTCGAATAAATTCCATAAATTTTGTAGCTTAGGTGTGGATCTGTCACTGGCCGCTCAGTAGGGGTAGTATTTGGCTTAGTTTTTTCTGTTTTGATAAGTACAAGAAGAGTTTTACTTTTTTTATAATTCTGTTTTTCTTTTTAAGCGTCTGACAGACTGGGCTACAAAGTTTTGTAGTCTTTCCACTTCTTTATTAAATGATAAAGCACGTTTTTTGCTAATAAAAATGTGATGTTGGAAAAATAATATTTATTTTTTAATGTGTATAACCTTCAGTTAAATGTTTGTTGATAAAAAATAATATTTTGATTTCTCAAAAGATTTAATTGAGATAAAAAAATTTGCAAAACTTAATTATCGGCAATGCATATTAAATAAGTTAAAAATTTTTTTATTGATCCAAGGGGGTATTCATTTTATGGAAGACCAAAGATTCCAATTATAATACATGATTAATAGGAACTATTCATATAGAGGATTTATTATAGAATATTAAACCAAAATATGGTTTTCCGAAAAACATTGTCTTTAAAAAATAATTTAAAAATCCACCACATATATTTTTAAACCAATTTGTTTAAAATCCGTGCTCATTAATAAAAAAAACATTTTAAACCCCCAGGTTCTTTTTAAAAGAAAAAAATTACCTCTCCTTAATAAAAATTGTTTGGATAATTAACGTTCCCTATTTAAACCCAGTAAGGAAAGTAGTAAAGTCGGACGGGGCCGACTATATGATACCCTTCACCACCACTGGGTATATTGTACATATGTATCCTTACAATTTAATTTCATTCGGGCAGATTTTGAGTCGTCTGCATACCATGGCACACATTTATTGAAAATGATTTATAGCAACATTGATACACGCTATTCGGTATGCCGCACTGTTAAAAATTTAATCTAAATCAGACACCCGTTCAAAATACATATGGAAGCTATGGCTGCATCTGCATGAATTTCAACAAAACCTAATAACGTCTTTCAAGTCTTAATTTGAAACGTTGTTCAAAATTTCGTGCTAATCGGACAAACATTAGGAGATTGGTGCACCATTTATGTAAAATCGGACGAAAATATATATTCACAAAACTTAGCACAAATCATTTTAGACTCAATTCAGTACGTTATGCCAAATTTCGTGTAAATCGAAGAATACATAGGACCTTTGGTGCACCATTTACCTTATATCGGACGAAAATATATATGGGAGCTATATTTAAATCTGAACCGATTTTCACGAAACTTAACACACATCATTCTAGACTCCATTCAGTACGCTGTGCCAAATTTCATGCAAATCTAGAGATATATGGGGACTTTGTTGCACAATTCTCCTTATATCGGACGAAAATATATATGGGAGCTATATCTAAATCTGAACCGATTTTCACGAAACTTTCCACACATCATTCTACTCTTAATTCAGTACGCTATGCCAAATTTCATGCAGATCGAAGGATATATAGGGACCTTGGTACACCATTTACATTAAATTGGACGAAAATATGTATGGGAGCTATATCTAAATCTTAACCGATTTTCACGAAACTTTTCACACATCATTCTACTCTTAATTCAGTACGCTATGCCAAATTTCGTGCAAATCGAATGATATATAGGGACTTTGGTGCATTATTTACGGATTTATACAAAACTTCACAAAACTTCTGTACCATGTATAAAATGTTGGCTCATTCGGACAAACATTGTGACTTGGGTGAACTATTGTGAAATCGGAAAAACCTATATAGATCCTATATATCTAAATCTGAACCATTTCAATAGAGTTCGTCCTTGGGCCAAATAAGTGGAATGTGCCAAATTTCATCCCATTAGGATCACAAATGCGACTTACACTTTGTTTATAATTTAACATGGGACGAAAAGACGGACGGACGGACATGCATAAATCGACTCAGAAAGTTATTCTGTACATATGGGTCTATCTCGTTTCCTTTTGCCTGTTACAAACGCATAAGTAGCTAAAAATCTATTAGGACTTTGAAAAAAAAAAATATTTTAAGAAATCTACGCTCTGTTCAACCGAAAAAATGACAAATGTTTTTAAAAATATATGCTCGATGAGACCTTTGGAAAATAGAGAAATCCTTTTTGTTTGGCTTTTGAAAAAAATATTTAAAAAAAATAATATAAAATCTACGACCGGTTGGACCTTTAAACAAATATTTTGAAAAATATACGCTTGGCTTTTAATAAATATACTATGTCCTGTTGGAAATCGTAAAAAATAAACATCCTCTTGAATAAAAAATTAAAAAATAAACGTCCTCTAAGGCCTTTGGCAAAAATAGGGGTTTTGTAAAAAATATTTGATACTTTGAAAACAATTATATAAAAATCTACATTCGATAGTATATGCATGTGTATTTTACAAAGATTTCAGATTTTTAAAATTTACACTCTGTTAAATCTTCCGTAACAATACTTCTATAAATCTACGCTAGTTAAATTCTTCAGGATTTTTTAAACCTACGTTTTATTAAGTCGTTATATAAGCTTTCCTACTTCTTCTTCAGGCTAAAACATTTCTTAAAAACTGACGCTCTTCAGAAAATATTCAAAAAATATTCAGGACAGCTATAACCCTAATAAAATTATTTAATTAAAAAAAAAAAATATTATTTAATTTACAAAAAAATATGTTAAGTAACTCTTCTTGTAACTTCGATCTCACTTAAAATGCACTTCCTTTTAAACTCTCTATTAGTTGCCTCTTTCTGAATGATGAGTGTCAAACTTTCTCTCAGCTTTTTTGTTAAGCTTTTAGTATCCTCTTTTGGCGGATAAACTTCGACTCGCAAAAACATATTTTGCAATAATTTCCCACGCATTGCAATCATCATCATTACGACCAATTGTAGTAGGAGCAGATAAAGCAACACCAACAAACACCAGTGCCCCTCACAACTAACCATGGAGCCAGGTAAACAAACGAGTAAATACTTCAGGAAAATCCACAACAAACGAAGAAGAAGCTTTTTGTGTGTGGTAGCTATGGACAGCAGCATTATCAACATCTTCGAAGAGTCGCATCATCATCGTCAACATTACCATCCACAGTTTGGGCTAACAAAACAACATCAAAGGAATAACGACTCTTTTGTGTGTGTTTGCCTTCCTACCACGTTCCACATATTTACCAAACCGTTACCACTTGGTGATGTTTAGGTTACAGCAGCTTATAGCTAGCTCGCTTATAGCTTTAAGCCTTCCCAAACCCAAATAAAAAAACTAAAAACAAAACAGCCAGCCATCATAGCGAATCACTCTTAGCCATAGCCAAACAAAAGTGTTGACGTTCATTGAGCCCCACTTGCAGTTTCAGTCTTTAACAAGATCTGCCAAAGCCAACAACACATCATTCCGCTGCAAAAAAATCCATCAACGTGCAATTTTTTCCATCTCGAACAAACTAACTCTGATTTTTCGGTTAACAACGATGAGCAGCAGTGGCTTATACGAGTAGCTACACACCGCTTCTTAAATCGATCGATCGCATATTGCAAGAGAAACACTGCTCGTCGTCTGGTGTTTCTTCTTCCGACTTTAGTTTTTGGCATCTCTTCTTCATTTTGTGGCCATAATACCGTTCGGTGGCTCGATTGCCAGTGCCTAAAAATTTTCTGTTTTTTTCGGTGAATGAGTGAGTGTGAGTTCGTTCGAACGCTGGCTGACTGGCTGTATCGGTGTGTATCTGAACTGTGCGGTGAGCCGAGTCGAGCCGGTGAGCTGAGGCTTAAAATTAAATTCAAACTTTAAATGAATTTCAGTTACGTTTGAAACTTTTACCCATCCAGTTGTGTGTGCGTTTCCCCAAAAAACACATTTCTGGTTCCGATAACCGAACAACATCTTGTGGAATGGCCAAAAACTAAAAAAACAAGAAGAAAATTATTACTCGTCTTTTGTAGACTAAAAAGTGATTAACTTGACCAGCACGAGCACAGCCAACAAACCATCCAACCAACCAACTATACATCCATCCGACAACGTTGTTTGCATATTTAAATTGTGGCGGACAAGACCAAGAAAAAAAGAAACCCAAAATATTTCAAACATTTTGAGAATTTTAAATCAAGTCAAAACCCCAGCTGATTGTAATCAAATAAAACATACAAAAAATAAATTTGTAACAGTTTTTGATTTGTTTGTGTGAATTTTGTTATTTTTTGAAAAGAAAGTGAAAATTCTCAAAGAGAATTCAATTTTGATTTTTAAAGAAGTAGAAAAAAAAATCGGCAAGTGTGTGTTCCAATAATTTTATGCTCGGTCATTGACTGTTTCGAATTTGTGGATATTTTTTGAAAATTTTTTATTGCAAAAGTTAGCCTAAAATGAAAGTTTTGTCAGTGGTGCTTTTAAGCACCTTGTGCTGCTGGGCAGCAGTCAGTGCCCAAGGATTTAATACACCCAAACAACGTGGAGCTAATGATGTGGTGAGTAATCAATCAAAACAAAAAAAATAACAAAAAAAGGATAAAACAGGATTACAAGAAAAAAGGATATTAATAAAAATGAATCTCAAGCAACAAAAAAATACAAACAATTTAAACCCCCATAAACATGCGCAATAAAAATTCGGACAAAAAATCAAAGGATAATGTGAAAAAGAAAAAACATTAGAAAATCATCAGAAGTCTTAAAATTACTGAAATTAAAAAAAAATATGAAAAATATTTTTTTTGTGCCCAATCCAGGCGTATAATTAAAGAAAACTGTTGCCGTAAACCTAATGAAAATATTTTTTCGGATTCTGAACAATGCGAACGTTTTTAAATATATTTTCTCGAAATCCAGAATGCCCATCAAGATGACGATTTAAAAACTTTTTTTTTCGTTTTTATTAAAGAATAGTTTTCTGAATGCCCATCAAGGCGTAGATTTTTAAAGAATAGTTTTCTGAATGCCCATCAAGGCGTAGATTTTTAAAGAATAATTTTCTGAATGCCCATCAAGGCGTAGATTTTTAAAGAATAGTTTTCTGAATGCCCATCAAGGCGTAGATTTTTAAAGAATAATTTTCTGAATGCCCAGCAAGGCGTAGATTTTTAAAGAATAATTTTCTGAATGCCCAGCAAGGCGTAGATTTTTAAAGAATAATTTTCTGAATGCCCAGCAAGGCGTAGATTTTTAAAGAATAATTTTCTGAATGCCCAGCAAGGCGTAGATTTTTAAAGAATAATTTTCTGAATGCCCAAAACAAGGCCTAAAAAGAATAATTTTCTGAATGCCCAGCAAGGCGTAGATTTTTAAAGAATAATTTTCTGAATGCCCAGCAAGGCGTAGATTTTTAAAGAATAATTTTCTGAATGCCCAGCAAGGCGTAGATTTTTAAAGAATAATTTTCTGAATGCCCAGCAAGGCGTAGATTTTTAAAGAATAATTTTCTGAATGCCCAGCAAGGCGTAGATTTTTAAAGAATAATTTTCTGAATGCCCAGCAAGGCGTAGATTTTTAAAGAATAATTTTCTGAATGCCCAGCAAGGCGTAGATTTTTAAAGAATAATTTTCTCAAGGCCCAACAAGGCTTCCCAAGGCGTAGATTTTTAAAGAATAATTTTCTGAATGCCCAGCAAGGCGTAGATTTTTAAAGAATAATTTTCTGAATGCCCAGCAAGGCGTAGATTTTTAAAGAATAATTTTCTGAATGCCCAGCAAGGCGTAGATTTTTAAAGAATAATTTCCTTAAAGAATAATTTTCTGAATGCCCAGCAAGGCGTAGATTTTTAAAGAATAATTTCTTGAATGCCATTTAAGGCGTAGATTTTAAAAGAATAATTTTTCTGAATCCTAGTCAAAGCGCAAATTAAAAAAAAAATGAATGCCCATCAAGGCGATCATTTTTTAAGGATGTCTTTTTCTGAATGCCCACATGGCGTTCATTTTTTAAGGATGTCTTTTTCTGAATGGCCTTCATTTTTTGAGGGCCTTAATTTTTTAAGGGCGTCTTTTTCTGAATGCCTATCAAATCTTCGATTTTTAGATTTTTAATAACGTTTTTTTAGCCTAATTACTCGGCTTTCAGAAAATACCCTTCCAACCGCAGATTTTCAAAACTACTATTCTGAAACCCCCTCATAGCGTAGATTTAAAAATATATATTATTTTTGTCTAATTAATGCGTAAATTTAAAAAAAATTCTGTAAGTCTTGTTGATCTTGTTACGAAAGTTTTTTATGAAATCCTAATGGACCCTAGCCTTTTTATAATATGAGGCTTATGAAATCGTAATCGCTGAGCCTGGCAGAGCCTAGATGTTTCTGTAGTATTTTGATGGAGACTTAGAAGAGCGTAGAATTTTTTGGTATATTTCGTTGGAAGAGCAAACCATTTCATGGAATAATGGAGGCAAAGAACAGCGAATGTTTTCTGGAATATGTTTATGGGTATCTAGAAGATCGTTTCGATTTTGTAGGACTAGAAAACCCTACATTTTTGTAATACGTTTATAAAGGCCTAGAATAGAAGAAGAGGTATTTTGATGGAGGCCTAGGAGAGCAACTTTTTAATATTTTGGTGGGGGCCAAGAAGAGTCCGGAGGCCTATATTTTTTGTGATCTAGAAGAATCTACATTTTTTGAGAGGGAGGCATAGATTTTTAGAGACCCAGAAAAGGCTAAATTTGTAGGAAGATTTGTTTAAGGAGGCCAAAAGAAATCCATTTTTTAAATATATTTATAAAGCCCTAGACAAGTATAAATTCTTTAGGAAATTTGTAGAGCCTAAAAAAAGCAAACTTTTTAGGAATATTTTGATGGAGTCAAGGTTTTTTGGAATGTTTATATTGCGGCCTAGGTAAGCTGGAATTTTTGAAAATAGTTTAATGGAGGTCTTGAGATCTTAGGACCTACATCTTTTGCAATATTTTAATGGTGGTCTAGAAGAGCTTAGATTTTTATGGATATTTGTTTAAGGTCCAACATTGTGTTGATTTTTAAAAGAATATTTTTCTGAAGGCAGGGTGAAGTGTAGATTTTTTGGAGGATTTTTTAAGGAAAATGGAATGAATTTTTTATTAAAATATTTTTTCTTACAATTTATGATAGCTTTGGGTTTAAAAACGATTTTTCTGAATATTTACATATTTTTAAGAACCAAATGATAACTTTACTGAAGACCTGCCAGAGCGTAGATTATTTCGGGATATTTCTTTTGGTGGTTTATCAGAGCCTTTGTTGAGGAATATTTTTCTGGAAGACACATCGTAGTGTACGTATACTATTTAGGGATATTTTGAGAGTTTATTATTCAGAGATATTTTCTCTGAAGGTCAATCAGAGCAGAAAATTCTTTGGAATAATATTTTGAAGCCCTTCTAATTGAGTTTTTTGAAGAATGAGATTGAGATTTTTAAAGAATTTTATTAACCTTTTTTTCAGAGGGTATTTTAGGGAATATTTTTATCAAAAATAGTTTTGGAGCTTCTCAGAGTGTAGATTTTTAGCAGTATTTTATCTAAAAACAAAAAAAATCATTATTTGAAAATTATTTTTCTATAGGCCATAAAAAGTGTTCATCAGTCTGTACTTTCCATTAAAAATTTTTCTGAAGTTCCCTTAAAATATTTTTTCTGAAAATCTGGCTGACTGTAGATTTTTAAATATATATATTTTTTTCAGTAAAATCTAAGTGTATTAAATAAATAGGCCATATAGGATACTTAAAACATAATTAAGTAATCATTTACACCCAATAAAGTGTGGTCATTCACAAATTCATCTTCCCAATTATCAAGAATATAATTAAAACAAAGTTTGCACATGATAAATGGGCCATAATTAAATGTAGCTCCAATAATAATCAAAACAGTTACTATTATGAGTTATTTTTATTTTAATTTGGACTCATTTACCCTAAATGATCACAATAAAAAAATAAGAAAATTATTAGTTTATGAAATCTTTGTTTTTGTCTTTCAATGTGAAGGCATTTTTTTCATTTCAAGGTCTACGGATGCATTATGACCCTAATAAACAATCAACAATCAAATATTCATGTCAAATTTTAAAATATGATGAAATAATGAGCTATCATTAAAAATAAAATGTGAAGATACATTCATCATCAAAATGATGATATCAATCAATCAAAATGCTGATCGTATTTAGATTAAATTAAAAAATCAGCTTCTTTAAAACTATGCCAATTATGGAGTGTTAAGTGAATATAAATTAAGAGATTAAGATTTATTATCGTATGTAGATTAAATGGTGGACGTGGAAAATATTAATGATAGGGGGATTTAAATATTTTTTTTATTAAACAACTGATAAATCATGGCTCATAATTTTTAAATGAATATTTTTCATACACAAAGTAGTAAAGCTAGTAGCATAGTAAAATAGGGGACCTAGACCCTCATATATATTTAACCATTTAATTAATTGTATTTCTTACAATTTTTATTTTCAATATTTTTCAATTTCCTTGAAATCTTCAATTTCCTTCAAACTCACCCACAAGGCATGCCTTAGATTTCCAACCAAAAATTCAAGGCCTACCAACAATTAAACTAAATCCGAAGAAAAAACTCATAATTTAGTTATTATTGTTATGCACGTGGTAAAGATCGCCACCTATTGACCCATAAAAAGGTTATTCGTTTCTTTTTTTTTGGTTTTGTTTTATTTTTTTCTTTACATTGTTGCTGAGGCTTTGTAGGAAGTTTTGAAAAAAATGATACCCCATTAAACCAAATACTAAAACCCATTGTTATGGAACAAAAAAAATAAATGACTGATGCCAAACATTATGGATTTATTGTTTACAAAAAAATATACTGATTGAAAGCATTTTAACTTGGCTTGGGGATAAACAAAACTCAAATGGCTCTAAGCACAATAGCAAAACAATGATCGTTATAAACCAAGGTATCTGTGAGTTATGGCAAAACTTTACACAAATATTTTGAAAAAAAAAAAATTAAAAAAAGTATTTTTTACAAAAAAAAAAAAAAAACTTAGTAGGAAATTATGAATTATATAACCTATAGTAAATCCATTGAAAACAAATAGGCACAAAAAAAACTTCAAAAGAAATTACAAAAAAGAGAAAAGCCCTTTCATTGTACAAAAATTAGCTCTCTCCCACTTCCTCTTCAATCTTCACCAAGAGTTTAATTATAATTTAAAAATAATTGCTTTGTTATTGTCATTAATCGTGTAATTTAATTTCATTTAACAAAAATCCATTAGTATTAAACAACAACAACAAATGACCATTTAACTTTAGATATTTAATATTTTTTTAAGATTTTCAAATATTTTTTCTAAAGCCCTAACAAGGCTTAGATTTTTTAAAATATTTTTTTGAATCTTTAACAAAGCTTAAAATTTTTGAATATTGACGTAGAATTTTTAAATATTGAAGCCTAGTCAAGGCGTAGATTTTTAAATATTGTTTTCTGAATGCCCATCATGGCGTAAATTTAAATTTT